GGCAGTATTTTCTCAAGGGAAATGACATCACTGGCTACTTAGTCTCAGCTCTTCATAATCAGTTTAAAGAGTTACCTGAAGTTGATCAGGTGATTGTGCAAATTGTTTTATAGCCTAAGAACCTTTAACTGCTCAGAAACTTCACTCTTTGGACTCCTGGCATCTAGAAGAAAAATAATTGATGCCAAGACTTTGAAAGTCCCCCCTTTGTGCAGCAGGTGAGCTGGGTTCTCCATTTGTGCTTTGCCCAAGTGGGGACCAGTGATGTACTATGTTTGTGCAGGCAGGATCCTTCCAGTTACTCAAAAGGTGTGAAATCCCCTTTGGGAAGTGGAAATACATCCTTCCTTTTGGAGAAACGAAGGGAAAGTGAAAGTAGCATCTAATTGGGCATTTGTTTGGGAAAACCCTGGTAAATGGCCCTGTTGTATGAGACATCATCCCGTTTTTGCATGTGGAAGAAGCTTGTGTTTCACAAGCTGTTAGTGATTGCTGCAAATGACAGGTAGCAAATGTAGCCACTGTAAGCATGGGGGAAGCCTCTTGTAAATTGTATTTGTGTTATGGAGAATATTCTGTAAGGTTGAAGTGTCCAGTTCCCAATCACACATGGGATCATCTATCTGTTGTAACTGTCTGTAGCCGTCCTATGCATGACCAAAAGTTGTTTTTAAACATACAATGTTAGCACTAGAATCTCTTGGGAAGTCTTGCTGTTTCCAGCATGCTGTCCTTGGATTTCTATGTATCCTCCTTCCCAGGATGTTCCAAATTGGGTTGAAGCCTGGTTTGAGTTAGTTTTATGGCACTGTTTTGAAGTCCAACTGCAGGCAGTAAATGTCAGCAATGGGCTTCCAGATTCTAATGCTAGCATAAATGCCCTGTTCTAATTTGTATATAGTTATAGCTGCTTGATGTTGTCATGTTGTGATTGTAAACCTGTTACATGGGTTTTTAACATGGTAGCTGCAAAAAGCACCAGAGCACATAGCTATTCTGTAGCTCTTGTGAAAAGGAATTGGAAACCTGAAAACACTGCAGTATGCTCTCTGTCCAGGAGAGGGCACTCTGCAGCTGGGTCCCGTGCCCTGCCCTGAGGAATTTTTCCTGACCTTGTTGATGCTTAACGTTGGAAAAATACCAAAAGCAATGTTTCAGAAAGACAAGTCATGAATAGTTCCCTCTGGCAGTCTTCACTCGGTTATACCCTTATGTAAACTGTGCCGGTGTGTAACAGCCATCAACTGTCAAGCACTCAAAAGTGAATTCCCAAAGTTTTACTGCCACTTACACTAGCTTAACTGTGCACAGTTTCTTGTTGTAGGCTCTGTTTTACTTTGTGTTTTCAATTCAGCCGTTCATAGCACCAGCATTTTGTGTCTTTCTCCATGGCTGGACTCCTTAGAAAGGTGTATGAAGTCCAAACTTGCATTCTTCATCTTCAGAAACAGCTGAGGAAGTGAGTAGCATACACTTAGGTAATGTTTTTTCTATGTATGTCTATTGTTTTGGTGTTTAAAGCAGGTTAGAGTAGTGCTTAGAGCATACTTTTAACAGCACTTTGCAATTATTGCAGTTATTAATATAGTCTTGTGTTTTCTACTGCAATTGCAATATTGCTGTTTCAAATTAATGTGGAATTTGTTCAAACTTGAATATTTTTCTCAGCTGTTATAAATTGCATTTCATGTTCATAATGTGAGAACTATATAGCGTAATTTATGCATTTGATACTCTTTTTGTATGTTCACTTTCGATGTTGCCCCTTCATAGGGTTTTTTATTCCAGGTCTTGCTTTTCTTAAGCACTAACTTGAAACATCATTTACTTTGGTTAGAAGCTTTAAGTAATTGCTCTCAGAAAACAGACTGGAGATTCTTCTGGTTGTAAAAGAAAATGCTGCCTACCTTGTTTGAGCACCCTTGGAGAAAGACATCCTGTTGAGGCAATGCTTATAGCAAAAGTAAGTTAAAAGTTTCTTCTGTATAACTTCAGCTAATGCAGATTGAGAATATATTTTGCCCATACATTTTGCTTGCTAGTGTTTACAGCTCCTCAGTAAGTACTTTTTTTCCTCAGTCACTGAATTACTCACTTTATGCTGGCTCACTTTCAGCTAAAAATGTCATTTGAGACAATATCAAAAGCTCCGATTAAATCGGGATAGTGAGCTTCTCTTCTATCCAGTTTATTCCTCATGCCAGATAGCTTGTCAGAAAGGAGCATTGGAATGGCTTCACACAGCTTATTCTTAGCCCAGCAACCCACTTGTTGGGCTGGAAGATGTCAGAAAGGTCTCCAAAGGCTCCCAGACACCTGACCTATTCTGAATGTCCAGTTTTTGCTCTTTGCTGCTGGGGAGGAACTTCCCCATTCCCCACAGGTTCTGAGAACTGATTGTTAAAGGTTCTGGTTTCAGTTTGGCCGGTTCCTTCTGGTTCTGTATTATGTTGCACTGAAGCTCACAGCTTTTATAGTGCGTGTTATTGTATCTCACTGGTTTAAAAACCAAAAAACAAATAACAAACTTCAAGCACTGTACCTTAGCTGTGAACAGCATAATGGTATCATTGTTGTAGTAGTTAGCCTTTTCTACTCAGCAACAAATGCTTTTTGGTAGAGTACCACTGTAACCTCGTTGTTCTGTGGGTAAGTAGGACACTTAGGAATCTTTGCATGTGTTCTAACTGAAAAGCCTTTTTTGTTCTGTATTCCATACCAACTACTAGCAGTTTTCCTTTTTGAAAAGAAAAGAAGATTTGACCCTTCAGTTAGGAGTACACTAGGATATCTTCTGGTTTAAAAATACTAGTACTTAACTCATCCTGTTGAATGTGAACCACTTATTTTAAAATGCTGACTTTTTTTTCTGGTAAATTATAGCTGCTTTTTGAATATAGGAATGAGACAACAGAGACCACTTGTTCATTTAGTATATTGAGAGAATTTAGACATTCTCTATTTCACCTTCGTTTAGGCCACAGTTGTAAAAGCCCAGCATGATCACAGCTTTTTATCTCACCAAGAGTGCTGATTACACAGTTCAGGTTTTGGGCATCTCAGGGAGAGACTTCTAGCTGGAGTAAAGCCACATGCCTTGACTAAACCTAGTGACGTTACACAGACTTATATTAGCTGAGGATCCAGCCCTTAACTATTCAGAAGTATGAATGTAACCAAAATTTTGCTTTGTTTCCTGTGCTGTGTACCCTTACTGATGTAATTCACTTTTTGGCATTGTTTCATTTGCAACTTGCTTGTAGATTGCAGTGTGAAAATAGTTCTCTTTGTAAGAGTAAGTGGGAACTTACATTGTGAGCTTATCGCATTCTGTACCCAAAGTTTACATCCCTCAGAAGCCATTTTGTCTGCTACCAACCATTGTGATGTTTAGAGTAAGTACCTCCAGCCATCTCCTCTTTCTAGGATTTTTATAGTTAAACAGAAAGGATTTTTATTTTTGTAGCTTGTAACTTCAATCTGTATAGCAGTGACTTCTATTTAGTAATTAGTGGTCAGAGTACTGTAAAAATGTTCCTTTTAAGAGCTGTAACTTTAAATTAGTAATTATGCCTTGCAAGAAAATACCAGCATGTTAAGAGTTGGGAAGAAAAAAAAAAGTATTCTTTAGCTTGGAACTACTGTGATGCTGTGACTTGTGATTTGTATTGAATGTGTTTATGCGTATGTTCTGAAGTTGCACTAAATGGGGAAAAAATGAGTTTAAAATGAGAAGTAGAATTTATAACACCTTAGGGTTTTTTTTCAACTGATATAGGTGGCATTTTGGATTCAGTATTTCTTGGTTTTCCCACAAAACAGTAAGGTGGGAGTGCTCAATGTGCTCCTGACAGAACAACCGTTTCCTTACAGTCCAGTTTGAGGTAGGTGTTATTTAGTGCCCAAACATAAGCTGAAGCTGTCCTTACCATTCCCACCTCTCTTCCCAGGAAACAGAATCTCAATGCAAACCTGACTGCTCACAGCAGTGAAGTGTGAGATTCTTTGCAAAGAAATAACAGCCAATGGCATATCGAAGCTTCAATATGTTTAAAGTCAACATTGATAATTCTTTTTCTTGACACCAGTGATGCTTTCAAATCCCAAATTGTTTCCCATTGTTTTTTAAAAGGCAGCAGGCTGAAATGAGAGGATAAGGAGGTATCACTGTAAAATTTATTAGTCATAAAAGCTGCACAGCATGTTCTTCATTTGCTGCGTAGGCACAGGAAGTGTGGTTGTGGAATGTCTTGTAAAAGCCTCTGCTCTGTTTGAACCGTCATTGACTTCATCCAGTGTTTCTGAAGTGGTTGATGATACATACCATTGCCCCCTGTAATTGTGACGTTTGCTCAAATCATTACATGTGGGTGATGTGTATTATTTGGGCCAGGTTCTGTCTGTGAGAAGCTGCAAATCCAGTGAAATCACAGAACTCCACCTGGTTCTCTGCTGGTACTCCAGACTTACACAGGTGAAACTGAAGAAAACTCGTCTTCAGTCAGTTGTATCACGGCCTGTCTCTGTGACTTCAGCTCCCCAATGCTCTTCTGTGTAACATCTGCTCCATATTTTTCATAGAGTTTTGGTAACATCTGCTCCATCTTCTTCACAGAGTTTTGTAAATGCAGTTTTCTTCACAGCACTGACTTTGTTACTGAATTTCCTAATGCATCTTTTTGTTGTCTTGTTATTTCTACTGTATTTCTCTGTAGATTAAAGTGTGTGGATTAAAGTATTTAAACTCAATTTTTCTTGTTCCTCACTAAAAGCAAATGTGAGTTTTCAGGCCTGTAACAACAGTGATGATAGCTGCAGTATGATCAGCTTGGTCATCTTGAGATCAGGGTTGTATCTTGTTGGAACACTGCAGCCATGCTTGTGCCTGAGATTTCTGCCACAAAGTCCAAGCATTTCAAACCTTGGATACATGGAAAAATTTCTAGACAACATGGGAATGTCATCCAGAGGTAAAACTAATACTGTTGGTAACCTACAACGTCTTGGCAGCTGCTTGCCCACTTCTGGTCCATCCTCCTCAAGGTATTCACCCCTGGGGAAAAGCTGAGTTTGTGTGGCTTTACAGTGGTTATGTTTAAAAGGGTTTTAAAACCCCACACTTCTCTAGTGAGATGAAATGCCTACGTGGTTCCTGCTCCCTGATGTTGTCAGTAATTTGGGATCTTAAAACAGTTTGTGATGCAGTCTGTATTTAGTCTAAGCAGGGGAACTGCCTGCAACTTTCTTATCTTTAAAGAGCAATTTGTGGATAGGAGTTTGAACAAGAGATGATTTGGCGTTCTGGGATGTTAAAACTGGAGGCGGGAGGGCTGCAGAGAGTGCAAGTCAGCAAAATCCACAGGGGGCTTTCCAGGGAAAGGGGAAATGCTGCTGGAAGAGGTTCAGAGATCAAGTGGCTCAGTGCTTTCTCCTGAGGCAGCAGATGGGGTGGTTTGGGCTTTTGGAAGTGAATAAATCCTCCTACAGGGCCACTTTATCATAGTGTCACTTCCCTCCCCAGCCCTTTCCTCTGTTCCCCAATCTCATTTACACAAAAGAGAGAACAGGCTCTGGCCTTTTAGCTTTGGCATTATGCCATGGTCCAGCCTTTTGCAGGCTGTTTGTGTGCTGTTTTCCATTCAAGCTGGGGTCAGAGCATAGACATTCAGCAGGGTTTTCTTTAGATGAGGAAGGCAATAGTTTCACAGCTTTGAGGATCACTGGCAGTAATGTTAATCAAGATTGAGGTTTAATATCTTTTTAACTGTTTTTAGACTGTTGGAGTGAAGCCTGCACAGCACCAGCTTGAGCCAGGCTTTAGCCTAAAGTTGCATGAGAAGTCACACTACAGGTATGCGTGGGGAAGAACATGAAAAAACACAGTCCAGACTGAAATTCCATGTCTGTCTTTGGGTAATGATTTACAGAACAGAGCTTCGTAACTCACAAAGAGTTATAAAGCAGGTATGTTTATTGCGGTGCCGGGTGCAAGGGGGATCACTCCTCCTAACTCGCACACGGGGAGCTCAACAAGCTGGATATTTATTATGCACAAACGTATCTGATATTCATCAGATTTCACAAGCATAGGAGGAGATTATTCCAGTTACTTCCCAAAACTCATTAATGCCATTCCCCTCCCCTCTGTGCCTGCGCGCTGTCACCTGGTGATCTCAGGCCAGGGTCTTCTGGATGAAGTAAGAGGTCTTCCTCGCCATGCACTTTTCATCCTTGGCACAGTTTCCCCAGCTGGCAACCTCAAGTCTTATAGAGACAGCTGAAACGGGTTCTTGTCAGACATTCATCTTCTTGAGGGAAAAGGGTCCCTGATTTTAAACAGTGTGTTTCAGTTACCTATTCTATTCTGAGTTACAGTTTAACCGCAAGACTAGCAAGAACAAGAACATAGCTGTTCCCTATACTAAGTTAAGACAATCAATACATATCAATCTTAACCCTTTCCTTAGTCCGTTACTATTCCTCGCATCAGTACTATAAGCAAAAGTGTGAACTATTTGGTGAATTTAAAGTGAAGCGGTTGTGTGGGGGCCCAAGTCAGGTTTGTGGGATCCAGCGTTAGACCTTGAGACTCTGATTTCAGGATGTCTCTTCTACCCAGTGTCTTTTCAGGAAAAGCCCTCACTGCAGAAAAGCAATGGAGGAACCGCTTCCCATCCCTTCCCTTGCGCATCTGTGGGCAATGTGAGAACCCGCTGCTAACCACAAGGTAACAGATGGCCGGAGCATCCCGGTGCCCATGGAACAATGTCGCATGGGTCCCGGCATGTGCCCCGGCAGCGCCCAGCGCCATTGTCCCAGCCGGCCGTGAAATCCCGATTCCACGCCGAGGAGCTGCTGCAAGGAGCCTCTCTGGCTCTGACCTGCCAGGGAGCAGCTCCCTGCGTCCCTATGGAAATAGGGAGAGAGCAATGCATATAGAAATGTCATTATTGGTAGGCTTTTGGCGTGGTAATTGCAGCGCCTTGTGCGCGGACCCCTGAAAGGTCATCGTGACAGCAAAAGTTAAGCCATTGAGTCTCCATCAGTCATTCAGCGTTGGCTTTGATGGTGTCGATACCATCAAGTGCCGTGAGGACCCACTGTGAGTCGCTTTGTGGAGGCGAAGGGGGGCTGCGTGGCCCTGGGATGGAGGCGGGCGGTGGCCAGGCCTCCCCCTCCCCTCGGCGGCCCGGCGGGTGTCCGTGTGTCCGTCCCGTCCCATCCCCTCCTCTCCCCTCAGGCGCTTATAGCCCGGCCTGCGCCCGCCCGCGCCTCTCTGTGCCCGCCATGGCGGCGGCGCGGGGCCTGCCCGCCCTCATCGCCCTGCGGCTGCTGCTGCTGCTGCTGGCGGGCGGCGGGCAGCGAGCGGGCCGGGCCGACCGCTGCAGCTGGAGGGGCAGGTAGGGGGGGAGCGGAGGGGGACGGCAATGGAGGGGGGACACGACCCTTTAACCGGGGCCGGCGGCTCCATCTTCAGGGTGTCCCGGCTGCCCTCAGGGACCAGCGGGTTGCAGCAGGGGAGGGCGGGCGGGCGGCAGCTCCGCCTCGCCGGAGGGTTTTCTCTGACAGCAAAGCACTTACCAGAGCTTTAGCTGAAATCATATCCCTTCCCTCAGCGTTTTGCATTTTTCCTTTTGATAGATTTAGTCTTCGTCAGTAAGCAAAAGTAACTTTCCTGAAGGCAGTGGTAGTGCACCATCGTGAGCGAGAGCTGAGGAGCAGCGGCAGCCCTACCTGCTTTCATTAGAAACGTTTTCTTGATGAATTCTTACTGAAAACGTTAAAAATAATTTAGAAACGTAGGATTTTAAATAATTTTGTCAGAGGTAACAGTGCTGCCTGTGGTCGGGGGCTCTCAGCCCCACACACCTACAGGTAGGACTGTGAGGAGCTCCGTGCTGTCACGTAAGGAAGTTCGTTGCTATTTGGCAGAGAGAAGCTGCCCTCTGTCATCTCTCTGGATGCTGCGGGCATCCAAGCATAGATTTGCAGGCAGAAGGGGCTGAGGCTCCTTTTCCACACAGCCTGGCGCAGCACCGAGTGTGAGCAGAGCCCCCCGCTGCCCTGCAGCCCAGCTGGAGGAGGTTTTAGCTCATCACTAGGACAGAGTCAGAGCTGGGAGCAGGAGCTGTGGCTCTGGCAGCCGTCAGGGTTGTTGTGCCTGTGGCTGGTGATGGACTCCTGGTCTTGTCTTGGCAGCGGTTTGAGCTGGGAGCCCCGTTCCCGTGCGGTGGAGCAGGTTCATCTGCGCTGCACTGAGGGTTCCCTGGAGTGGATGTACCCCGCACGAGCCCTGCGTGTCGTTCTGGAGCCCAACCTCTCCAGTGCCCGCCACACCACTGTCTGCATCAAGCCTGCCAGTGACTTCCAGGGTGCCAGCATCTATGTGGAACGTGCTGGGCAGCTGCATCTGGTGGTGAGCGAGGCAGAAGGGGCTCAACCCCACCACGTGTCTTGCTTCAGTGCCCACACGCCACGACGGGTGGCCCTCTTCCTGCAGGCCAGCCCGCAGAGGGACATCAGCCGCCGGATGGCCAGCTTCCAGTATGAGCTGCTGAGCAACCAGAGCGCTGCGAGCCCCGACTTCAAAAAGATGGCACTGGTGGAAGGTAAGAGCAGGGCCAGCCTCAGGGTGACGGTGCTGGGGCAGATCCAAGGTGGCATCCAATATCCATTCACCTTGCCTATGTGGTGCTGGTGAAAGGAGATGTTTTGGGATGAGGGGTTTGTCACTGCAAGGGCACCCTGTAGGCATGGGAGGGAATGCTGCAGTGTAAAGAGAAACTCTGTCTCTCTGTTAACAGCCATCTGGGTCCTGGATGTAGGCACTGTGATCATGGGTGTCTTCAGCCCCTGGCAGTACCATCACTGAGAACACCTGAGTAGATGCAGGGACCCTAAATACGATATTCAGAAGGGATTTAAATTCATCAAGGCCTCAAGATGGTCAGTGGAACTTAAAATGATCTCTTGGAAATGGGACTAGCCATCTAAATTGCTTGGAACTGCATTTACCTTTCTTTCCTATTCGTACACCAACAACATCCTTTCTTTGCTCTATTTATATTACATAACAAGAATTTTGGTTTGCAGCTGATCATAATGCTCTTAAACCAGGTAGTTCTGTCCTATTTCCTCTTGTAATGCACCAGTCCTTCAGCAGTGAGACACAGTATAGTATTACCAGTAACCAGCTGTTGTTTTTTTCTAGCTATGTGCCGTCCTTGTGACAACATGGAGCTTCTCATGGCCATTTGCAGCAGTGACTTTGGTAAGCTGAACAAGTGAAAGTTTTTCTATCTTTAATTATGCATTGATTATTTGGATTTATTTGCTTCTTAAGATAACATCATGACGATGCTCTATGATCTGAGAAAGATCACTAGCTTTCACTAGTGTGAAAAAGAAGTGGAATGGGGGGGAAATGAAACCCAGAAGGAGCAAGCTTTGTTTCAAGGTCCTCATTTCCTGCAGGCAGAAAGATTGTGTTCTAAAAAGAACCTGAAAGTAATTTACAAGTGTGCTGCTGGCTCTCACATAGAGCAAAGTTACATTCGTTTGGACATGCATACACACGTGTTCTATGTGCTTGGTATGTTCCTTTTTATTCCCTTCATCCCCCAGTGATGAATATGCCCACTCTCTTTCCTCACAATTTACATACTTCCTAGTTCTTCTACAGGGGTAGTGAATTGTTTGTAATTTAGCTAAGGATTTCAGGTGGTTTAAACTTCCTTCAGTGATATACTGGTTAGGTTTTAGGCCTTATGACAAAACAAAGCAGATAATATTCCATAATAAGATAGTGATATGATGGGACATTAATAACTTTTTATGTTTTCTTTACTTAATAATGCAATATAATTTTTTCTTTTGATCATGGTTTGTTCATTATGTTCCCATAGCTTTGCACATGAAAATTTGTACCTCTTTGATTATGTCCAATAGCTAAAGCTATAGCGCTGCGTCTCCACATGGCCACAATTATAGTGCTGTAAATGTATCTACATAAAGAAATAAAACTGTGAACTATATTTACCCTTATTCAGTGTTTAAAAAACCACACAAATTCCTGCTTTCCTACTAGGGGTTGCCATACTTGAAGGCTACCGATAAAATCAAATGCTGACATCCTGGTGCTAATACAAATACAAATACAGAGTGTAGAACATGCTTCTGTAGAGTGCTTCTCAGCTGGCAGTTTTTCTTTCTCTTCTAAATTAATTGATGCAATCCAGCACATTGCTGCTTCTTGATGAAGTTGTCAGTTCCCATGCAAGGTGCTGTCCCTCTGCACTGCCTGAAAGACCAGAGACTGACAGATGTGGAGGCCCAGGCACACAATGGGGGACACTTGCATTTACAGCACCAACAGAGCAGAAGAAATAGCCCTTTGAACCAGTTCTATTTATGGCCTGACTTCCTTGCCCTGTGCTCACAAATCGCTATCATCAACTTTTTTGATTAGAGAAAATAGCTACTAATGAAAGTGTAAATGACACTGGGAGTGAATAGGAGCTTTATAGTTATTCATAAGATGGAAATCTACAGTCACTAGGCCCTGAGCAGTGCAGGAGCAACATGGAGCACCAGGAACAAGGGCATTATGGCTTGTCAATAGACTTGGCTGCATCTGATTAAAGCTGGTCACACAAAGAGGGAGATAGAGAGCAGAGACATCTGTTACACAAAATTCTGGATTCCCTTGGAAATTGGGTTAAATGAGGACATTCTCAGAAACTCCAGAAATAAGCTTTTTCTGCCTCTTAGGTTGTTGACTTCTCTGTACCTGAATAAAAGAGCTGTGTAGCAGAAGTGTGGTGATGTTCCCATTGCATTGGTAACTTCTTATTTGCTCAAGAGCTCTTGGCTCAAATGGTGGCATATTTCTGAGCCTTTCTGGATAAGGCATTGAAATTAATTCAGTTAGTAGAAGAAGAATTGATTGCTGTGAAAAAATGGGGGTGATGAGAATGAGAAAGATGGCTTCAGAACAGCAAACATCTGTCAGATGGGATGTTTCATTCTCCATGTGGCTGATGCAAAGGAAGCTTTCGGTCAGGAAGACTATGGCTTGTTAGGCTTTCATTCCCAAGATAATTCTGGGAGAAGGAGGTACATGCATGATGTGCGATTTTTAAATAAGGCTTCAGATAAAGTTGCTTTAAGAGTTCTGCATGTTGTCAGTCATCTCCCAAAGTGTCTTTTGGTGGATGGATGACATTTGAGGGAGGGAAAAAAGTGCCAAACCTTTAAATGAAAAATGTTGAACAAACTCTGGGATCACCCTGTGCTACTGCTGTCAAAGGAAAAGCTTCAGAGTCCCCTGGAGACAGGAAGGAGGTAGCCTGTGACAGTCATTGTCTTGGAACATAGACTGAATAAAACAAATCCCTGAGCTAACCTTTTTCATGTGCTTTTTCATCCTTTACTGCTACTCTGCATTACCAAACAAGTTACATGCTTCTTTCTCAGATAGATGATTTGAGTAGTCACAAATCATGCTTCCAAGCACCTGGCCTGTTTGTGTAAGGATTCTCTGTGTACAGGATGCAGTGTAAGCTCAGAAATACATCCAACTTTAGGTGGTAGGTGTACAAACTGTAAAACAACTGTTTCTCCAGTTGTTTCATTCAGTGAGCTCGTAGTACCTGAACTACTTACCGGCTGCTCCATAACCAACTCCTGTCTTCTTCACATCTAGTGGTGAAAGGATCTATCCGAAATGTTTCCCACGATTCAGAGAACCACATGTCACAGGTTGATGTCAGCGTCCACAAAGTCTACAGGCAGAAAAACAGGATTTTCCAGCAGGATGAAGCAAGTGGTGAATGGCGAGGCCCTATCCGGACCCTGCTGCAATGCAAGGTGAAGAAGGGAGGTGGAGATTTCCTTTTCACTGGAAATGAACACTTTGGTGAAGCTTGGCTGGGCTGTGCTCCTCGGTTTAAAGATTTCATGTTCATTTACTGGGCTGCAAGGGAAAGAGGAGCCAACCCATGTGAGTTCCAGCTCAACTGAAGGGAGTGACACCGGAGTTGAGACTTCAGAAATCTCAGCCCAGTTTTTGATACCGAGTCTGAAGTAGATTACACCCAAAGACTAAAGCTAACAATTTCACCAAAACTGGGGCCTGGAGAATCTCCTGAAGATAATGGCTCTGTGAGCGCTGTAAACTTTGACTTTTAGTCCACATTTTCATTAGTTTCATTAGCTTCTTCTTTGCATCTTCTTGGCATCCCAAAGTAACTCTGAATTTTGAAAAGGTTGTCTTTTGTTGTGGTTAGAAAGCAGCCTGTGCTCAGTATTATAAAATTCTCTCAACATCTTTTGCTCCGCGTACATGCTGTGTGCTTTTTCTCTAGATTTTTTTCTCTTTTATCTCATATCTACTTGATTTCCTTTCTTATTTCTTTTGGTTTTACTCTTTAATGAATGTTAACTCTGGTCATAGCCTTAGTTACTAAACCTTCAGGCAGTTGGCAGGTTTGCTAGGTTTTTTGCCTGCTGTGGGTTAGCAGAGAGATTAACTAACCCTCTGGGGCCCAGTCACAGCTGAAGTAATTCTGCAGCACCCTGTTGATTTATGCACAGTTGACAGCATCTGATTTTGCTCCATGCAGACAGGCCAGTGAGGGATACTGCACTTTAGCCAATGGGAACACTAACACTGTACTGTTCCTGTAAAAGTCAGTTGGAGAAACTCTCTAAGGCTCAATGTGGAGTTTCAGAAAGCAGCATTCTTTGTTGCAGCACTTGGGCGCAAATGTGAATCACTTCGCAAAGGTGAGCGTGCCTGATAATTGCCAACAGCAGCTACATGTATTTAGCATCCTCATGCGTATTCATAGCTTTTCCAGGAACTAATTGTAGTATTTGCATCCTAATTACACATGTGCTTTCTTGTTGAGTGGGGGTCTTTGGTGGTCATCCATAGTCTTCCTCACTGTGTTTACTGAATGACCTCATGCTTGCAAGGTCCTAGTGCTGAGTTAGCATTTGGTATGTCCTTGCTTCTGTTCTGTTCCAGTCTCGCTCCACGCTGGGCGCCACTTTGCTGTCTTGAAGGCTGGCATCCTTTGCCTCATTTACATCTTCTTAGTTGTTATCAGTTCCATGATGTTCCTTCCCCCATCAGCTGAACATTCCTTTCTCTCTACGTGTTAGTAAGTTAGAATGGTTTGGTTTATTCTACTATGTTAAAGGCACACACACTATTGTTAGTTTAAGATTTAAGGTTACAGTACCGCTGCCATATGAGAAAAGGTGTTTGGGAAGTGCATTGAAATAATCAGTTTTGGTTGTAGTGTTGTCTGCATGAGAACGTAATGCTGGGTATTCCTAGTGCAGGCCCCACAGCTAATTCTAGGTGCTGATTAGTGCACATCAGGAAAAATCTGAGCAAACTGGCCATTGCAAAGTATTGAAGGATATCTGGATATTCAGGTTTTGAGAGCTGGAAATCAATGCCACACTTAAGGTTTTTAAATGGTTTACTCTTTTTTGGTTGGTATTTACACTCTAAATATGACATAAAATATATTATTTTGGTATAGATCAAAGGTACTGAATTTCTTCCTGATTTGTATATTTGTATGTGTCAGACTTGTGTGGGGTTTTGTCTTTCATAGAGGCTAAGCCACTTCTTACAGCATTAATGTCATAGTTGATATTTGCTTTTGTAGAGCATCATCCATTTTAAATAATGTGTTCTTTTTAGAACAAGCAAGTAGTTTTGTGAAAGTATGGTTGAAAAACTAAAATAACCCAGTGTGAAATGAAACAACATACTTAAACCCACATGTGATCTGGTGATTTAATCCACAGCTCTGTGGGCTTGTCAGCCTTGCACTGAGCAACCTGAAATCCTTGCAATCAATGAGAACAATGAGAGCTTGTTAGAGATCTTGAATGTTGGATATATTGCTTCTAGTTGAGTGCAATCTCCCTGTATGGCATAGAGTTGAGATAGTAGTGGCACCTGAATTTCTCCAAGTGGTTGGGTAAAAAGCTTTTCTGGCAAAAATATTTTTGTTTTCATTTGTTTAAGAAAAGAAATTAGGTCAGAAATATTCTTTTTTGGGGGAAAACACATAATCTATAGAGGGCCCACACTCAAAAAAAGTCCTGCTGTGCTAAAGTCAGTGTTAACTTTGAGTGCTGTGCTGCTGCTATTTACATTTCGTGCAAATCTTGCAACATCAAGACTGAGGATGTTTAGATACAAACATGAGTCAACTGGGGCAAAGAGGTCAGTGTTTCTGTTGGGATAAGGTTGTAAACTTGAATCAGTGCAAGAGCAGTAAACGAGTTGAAAAGTAACATAAAATCGGGTCATACACTGTAATTTCAGTGACTTTTGTTAGTGTGACAAGGTAGACAGCCATTGTCACAGCAAGGAGCTGTGGTTAGGTCAGGGCAGCATCAGTGTTTCACATACAGAGAGTTGAGGCAGGAAGAGGAGTTCTTGGTGGAATTTGGGTGACAGCTTTCATTAGTGCTGACTTCAAGATAGAACCAGGCTTAGTATGGGGCAGGGGAGACCTAAGTTTTAGTCAAAACACATTTGTGAGCAACTGCAAGCAAACAAGTCATCTTCTTTCTTTACTGTAGTTGAATTTAACCCAATTAATTATCTTTACTGAGGAAAGCATGTTGAACATTTTCCCCTCTGGCACTGCAAGCTTCAGTCTTTCAGCCTCTTCCAGGAAGGAGGTGAAGCCTTTTTCATAATCCTTCTGATCTGTAACATTTCATAAAGTAGCAGGGCTTTTTATGCACTTAATCATTTGTTCTTTGTTGGACTTGTGCCTGATGTGTCCATCAGAAAATCAAAAGAGGTATAGTACGTTTCCCCCACTCACTGAAAGACAAAAAAGCCACAAGAATCTCTAATAAGACTTTGACTGACTGGACCAACACCGTGAAGTAAAGGTTTGTGAATGAACACTGCAAGCTAAGTCTTCCTGACTGATTTGAATGAGGTTTCCCCTGCTTATGGCAGAGTGAATTTGTCCCTTTTTTGAATGCAGCTGGTCTTCCCTTGTGTCTATCTTGCTTTTTCTGTGCTGTTGCAAATGCTCTGAATTTTCAACACGCTGTTCTGGAGGAAATTAGTTACATGAATACAGGGTTATTCCCTCTGTCATTCACTCCCTTTCTCTAATCCTATTATTATTTTTAAGGTAAATGTTTCAGTATTTTTCACTGCAATGTAAGCTCAACTTTTGTCTCAGACAAAAGGATAAGAACCTTGTTTGTACAACCAAGTAGGACAATAAGCTTTCTGTTCCAGTACAAACTGGCAAAGTCGTGGCCTTCAGAGACCTTAAGGGTTCTAGTGGGAAGGCACAGGAACGATGAGACAAAGTCTTGAAACTGGGGACTTGTGCTGAGCTTTCCCCCTGACTCACGTATCTCATACCTTCTGCTATCAGTGAGGGAGCTCATTCTGCACTGAGATTTGTATGCTTAATACGGGAAGAGGAATATTTTTTTCTCTGCTCTTGACCAAGAGTCTATCTTTTCTCCCTTTTTAATGGTCTTGATCTCACTCTGTTGAAATTTAGCAAAGCTTCCAAAATAGTCCTGGGAAGTCAGAGTTCAGAATGCTTAGTTTTCCTAAATGCTTTTCTTCATTTCAGAGTGATGAGTTTTGGTTTCAGTGGTCTGGAGTGATCATTTAGAGAGGTGTAATTTGTGCTCCTATAACTTATACAGTCATAGTTAACATTTATCATTTTGTCTCAAGATATAAGCTGGGGGGAAAACCTAACCCTAAAGCCAAACCCCCCTTTCTTCCTCTACCAAGAGCTACTTTATTTTTAAAATGGAATGGAGGAGCTGTAAAAAGTACACATTCTTTTCTTACATTGAAAAACATTGAGGAGTTTAATACAGACACAGACATAATGCAATTGACTCACCTCCTTAACGTCCTGTTGAACTAATACAGGATCAAGAGTTGCTCAGGATGGTATTTTCACCTAAAATATCTGCCTCTTTTCAATTAGCTTTTATTATTTTAATTGTGGTTCCTCCCACCCTCACTCAGTGCTTTGGCTGGACTCACATAATTGCCTATATTTTATGTAAATGGAATTGTTACACCGTAAAATGATATACAAATGTGTCTGCCACACAGAGTCCAGTAAATGGTGTGAATAAACCCATTATTTTCAATGTAACAGCATCTGATAGCAGCCTGGGAAACACTGGGCTGACAGATGTGAGCCCATGACAAGGCTTGCAAAAAAACCTGAATGAGGAGCACTCTGACAGACCAGCATTAATTGACTTTTGAAATAACTCCTTTTTTTTCACAGTTCTACTTGGCTGAGCGAGATTCACAAATTGCTGTCTTGAACTTCTTAATGGCACAAAATAGCTGCCAATGAAAGCCTAAATGACATGGACGTTGAATAGGAGTTATACAACGACCACACCATGACATGTTTTTAACTGACATATTATTTGAGAAGTTGCAGCTACTCAACTGGGAGGCAGTCAGGAAGGGGGAAGAGATGGGAAGGAGTTTGAGAACTGGGTATAGAAACAGCATCTGTTAAACTCTAGACAAATATGGGTTTAAGTTAGGCAGAGAAACAAGTCTTAGGAAACATCCTGATAAGCATTTTCACATGCATTCCTAGAGAGTATGATTTGGAGTCCAGGTCTGTTGTTCCCTCTGCTGTGAAAATCAAGCAGAAATTGCATTAGCAAGTAAGAAAACAGACCCTGTGTGAGTGATGAGCATTGCTGACCTCTCTGGGTTTCAGGACCTGCTCAAGACCCAGGCTGTAGTCACAGTCAGGTTTATGCAGACTCAAAACACTTGTTTGTCTTTCTGCAGAAACTGAGGCCAAACTCCGGCAGATCTAATTGACCTCTCAGACAGATAGTTAGTAAAGATGAGGACTATTTTTTCTTCCCCCTAGTTTTTGTGCCACGTGCCATGCTGATCAAACAATACTGTTGCCTGACTCTGGGAACTCCAGAGTTACACCACAGCCTAAGCAGCTCTCTCTTCCCCAGTTCTCATACAACTCAGTGAGTTATGCAGTAAAACCCCTGTTATTTGTACACTGTGGCATCTTTATTTCTGCCTTCCTTACTGCTTTCTTCAGTTCTCAGCACAGAACAAAACATTTAGAGTTAGGGTTTACTATGAGTATTTATTGAATTCAGAGTACAACTATTAATTCACGTTAGAGCTAAAAAGATCAACAGCTTCTACAACAGTTACAGGCACAGTCATAGAACAGATGTCATAAACTCTGTCTGTGGCCCTCATAAGGATGTCTAGCTGACACATCTACGTGAACTAACATATAGTATACTTACTGAAGTATATGTGTATATATGAAGTACATAGCTGATATATCAGTACAATCAACAGGTCTATAATTGCATAAGCATTTATTTTTCTATACTGCAGTACATCACTGTTGTGTTTCATTGAAGAAAAGATTAAATTTAAACAGATCACTGTATTTTGTGGGCAAGCATTTCTCCATTTACTCTAGCTTGTATGTTAATATGCAAATCATTATAAATCTCATGGCTTCATTAATAGCAGGATTAGGGTTTTTTTCTAGACTAACAGGAGTATAATTAAAATATATGCTTGAATCTATATCTTGTTTAAAACCAGGACAGCTTACATAGTTACTAGCAGAGTAATAACACTTCACTTGTGCTGAAGAGGCTTTTGAACCATTCATTATTTATCATGTTGTAGCTAATGTTTCTAATGTTAATCATCCCCATTTCCATATATCCAAGATATCCAAAGCTAACCAAAGTAAGTTTTCAGGAGTGCAGTGATTCAGTTATTCATTTCTCATTTAATTCCAAATCAACAGAACCTTGTTCCATCATTTCCAGTGATTCACAGCACAAGAGAAAACAAAAAGGAGCATCAGGAATACAGCATCAGGCTTGGTTCACTGCCTGTGGTAATCCAAAACCCCTCTTGTGTTATGTGCTGTTGGTCATACACGAAGACCACATTTAAAGAATCCCACCTTGTCCAGCATGGCAGAATAAAAGCTGCTCTTAACTTCGCTGGAGTATCACTCCAGAGTATGGCTAAAAAAGCTCATGGACTTAGAGTTTATCATTAACACCCCTTAAAAGTCAAGAAGCAAGCAACAGGAAATGTGGACTTTCTCCACTGCAGAAACCATCAGAGCACGTTTTTCCTCATGGCCAAGGAGACAGAGTGCTCTTCCAGGACCCTGCTGAGGGATCTGCAGCACTGTGCCACAGCCAAGCAGCTGAAGGGACAGGATTTCTCAAAGGAAACTGCTCTTGTCCCTCACTGCTGAAAAACTGGAAGTTCAGGGAAAAAGGTTTTGCATTCGTTGCTGGCTCGTATCAGTGCACATCCTCCTCCCACACCTTTTGAAGTGTTCTGCTTTCGTTTTAGTGCTGGGTGTGCTTTGGAAAGCTGAGACCCTTGAGATAGTACAACTACTCCAAAGACAGCCCTGGCACTTTTAGGTCCATCACCAGTTCCATATCCTATTCTGGCCAAAGAAAGGATGGGCAAAAGGAAGCATCTCATCAGATTCCTGCTATCCTTGACAAAGTACTAAGAGTTTACAAACCAAGTAAAAATAGAGACACCAAACCTGAATTCCTGCAAGTCTCTCTCTAAAGTACTTTGGCTAATGTGAAATGGACAGGAGTTCTGAGCTTCCTAACAAGTCCCTTCCAAACTGCCAGCAGTAGCTTTATGTTCTATTTCACCAAGTCCCATAAGGGGAAGTTTTACAAATCAGAGTCCAAGAATACTCTGCTTCAAGAATGTTCTTCCTGGGCTACTGTAAGAAATAAGAGCTAGCATAGTAAGTCCAGAGGCATCAACAAGATACAGGCCCAGTAACTATGAGATCCAAATACCTTGCTTGCCTACTGATTCTTTTAAAGTCATAAGAAGTGCAGATTCTTCTGTACATGGTGAGGACTTCTGAAAACGTACCACAACCCAAAGCAAGGAACACCAGGAGAATTAAAAATCCATCCCAGGGGGAATGGATGGGTATTCTCCTTTGTTCTAATTCCCTGTATGTTTTAGAAGACCCACTTATCTGCCCATAGGCTTCATGCAGAGAAGAAGCAGCATTTTCTAGGTAGTGTGCACACTGTCTTGAGGCTCCTCCAGTCAGAGTCCCAATAACATGTAGAAAATCCAGTTTCTACCGTATGAACAACTGAAGATACACCAGCAGAGAATATCCCACCTCACAAAAGAGGAAAGACACACAGGAGACCCTGCTTTAAGTGAACAGCACATTTGTGCTCCCTATGCAAGCCAAAAATGCTCTCCCTGAACTCCTCAGCACACAAAAAAAAAACAGAATTGAAGAGCCTTCAGTGTGAAGATCTGAAGCATGTGCTGGCTCAGAACATGAGACAGAATGCTTCAACCCACAAACTGCATTATCACAGGGCACAGGCTACTGCTCTGCAGGATGTCTTCCTGAAGATTCTCTGGCATATTCCCAGTCTCAGAGTTGATGCTGATGGTACTTCCTGGTGATTCTGACACGATTTCTTCCCTGTCAACTCTAGAATCTCTGCATTTCCATTCTGATGAGATTTTATAACTTAGTGTCATAAAACCGTAACTTACTTAACAGCTCAGCCTGTGCCATCTCATGGATTCATACACCAGAACATGTGTATTGCAAATCCTGACTATGGGCAACAGTCTGAGGACAGAGAAAAAGGCAACACTGAGATCTGCCTCAAAGCTTGGAACCTGAATTTGTCAAGGAATTCTTCCTGTTTCTTTCTCAAAGGGGTTATTGCTACCTGTGAAACACATTTAGATCTGAAAACTAATTCTGGGGATCCTTTACAACAAGCCACAAAAGTCACAGCAGCTACTGAAGACATTTAACAACAATTTATATCTTTTTAGAAGGACAATCAAGGTCTTTTCAAAACCTTTCATCCCAGTTTTTACTATCATCATTTTACTATATCACTATCTAACTACTTCAGCAATTTAGACCAAAGAATCAGCAGATTTCCCAAACTGCTTAAAAGACCTAATAATTTTCATTCCTTAGACTGAGATACACAAAGAGCTGCTACAGGCCTGATTATCTGCATGGAAGTACTTAGGCAAACTTAATTAAGATATGAGACCTTACTCTTTTAGTTGGCAGAGAGTCAGAACAGTGCCACTGGAAAATAACCAGAAGGCAGGGTACAGGGCTTCAGTAAACTCGGTTTTGTATTTATAGATCAAGTTATGCTTCTCCCCCACAGCCAAGAAAATCACAAACCCTGCCTCGCAGTGGAGCAGCACACCAATCTTGGTAGCCTTTGTATTGGGTAAGCACTTTTCAACATCATTATGCCAGGATGATATTTTGTTATTAAACCACTCAATACACCAAGAATGGCTGTTCCGGCCCAGGCGGCTCTCCGGCCCGTTCCGCTCCATGCTGCCATAGCAGATGCCAATGCCACAGAAGTTGTTCTGTTGCATTTCCACTTCCCAGTAGTGGACGCCTCTCTTGAAGGACTGGAACCCCAGCACTTGGTAACAATCAGTGAAGCGCTGAGGGAGCTGGTTATACTTCATGGGGGTGTCTGAGACAGACATCTTGGTGTGTCTGTCAGACAGAATCACTTTGTTATGAGCTGTGTTGTAATCCAGCGTGATGTTAGCAGCATCTGCAATGGCATGAATCATGTGAAGGTACTGAAGGACAAAATATTCTTATTTGTACTGTCCTGCCTAGGCACTTGTTCCTATGTGTGTTTATCTCCCTGCTCTGCTCTCCTCCACAGTGCAGGCAGTTCTTAGGTACACGGTAACAGCTACTGGGATCAGCTGCAAATCTGTGTTAGAAAGCAGGCAAATGGAGGGCAAGTTTTCTTTATTCCTTCATCTTCATGGGATTCCTTTGCCACCCAGATACATGGTGGCAGAAGAAGGGGATTGCTGATCTGGCAGTGAAAGGTACAGTATCTTAAGCAAGCCATCATGGGCTCCCATGAAAGCCTGAATTTCGTTTCAAAGGAAAATCCAGTGCATTACCTCATGTTTCTAGGCCACCCTAATGCAGTCATTCTGGGGGAAGCCATTACTGAGAAAACTTGATTTACCTTTGTAAAGATACATGAATACTGAAGATAAAATTGATTCACCTGGCAAAAGAACCACTTAGAAACCTCTTGCCCCCTTTTACTCCCCAAATTTCCTTCATTTGTAACAGCCAGTTGATAACCTCCTAAGCTAACCAAAACCCCCCAAAAGTGCTTTTGTCAGGTAACTATAGAGGGCACATAACCCCAGATCTTTAAGTAGCTCATCTTTAAGTAGCATAACATTGGGTGTCTTACACTGCAAAAGCTCCTCTCTGGATTTCTTCAGGAAGATGTCAAGAAGCTCTTTAACTTGGACGGCAGCTGCAGCAGTTGGTGTTCCCGTGGCTGGTGCTGTGCCAACAGGAGAAAAGAGAGTTTGGTGTTGGGAAGAAACCCTGCATATTTCGCACACCATCCCAGGCACACTCAGCTGGAGTGGGCCTCTAGAGGTTATCTGGTTTAGCCTCCTGCTCCATAGAGCATTAACTTCAGTATTAGCTCAGGTTGCTCAATCCCTTGTCAAGCTTTGAAAACCCCCTGTTGTCTAGGCAACCTCTTTCAGTGCTTGATCACTCTCACAGTGGCTAGTAAGAGACTTCTCAGAGCAAGAGTTGAACTTCTGCTTAATACACCAATACTAGTGACCATCTGCTTACCATTGTAAGAGCAGTCAGTGGAAATTAGAGTAAGTGTGCTCAAAGTTTGGACTCACCAGTTTTAGCAGGTTTCTTTTTCTCCTCTGTAGGGGAAAATAAAAAGAGTGAACTGTGAGTTCGACTGAGACTGAGAAGTCACTGATAGACTATGCCTGCTGTAACACCATCATCATGGCTCTTGTGAAGCTGCAGCAGTAGATAAAGCCGACAGTCCAGCATGTTGAAGCCATGTTTCCCATACTGGAAAGCTACTCGTAAAGCACAACCTACTATTTGCTTCCTACTTCACAAGGTTATAAGCCTGGAAGGAGCTTCAGCTCTGCTTCAGGATGTAGTCTGTTAGGGTAAGTAGTAGTAAGTCTGTTCATGAGGCACATAGACTATTCCTTTAATTTTTGCAACAGAACTTCTAATGCAACAAGAGCTATGCATCCATTCAACTGCAGCATCCCCAACAGACCCTACCGAGTGCTCCACATCCAGAACTTGTGAATGGGAAGGACCATGTGTCAGGAGCTCAGTGGAAGGAACAGAAGTAGTTTCTTAACACTTGGGTTTATTTCAAAAAGAGAATATGGAGTATCTTCCAAACAGGCTGAGTGCCACATTAGTATCAGTATCTGGACAAAACAACACTGGAAGGCCCCAGTATAACCTGTCATGAAGACCATCTCCATCCACCCAACCTTAGACCATAGGCAAGACATAGCCAGTAAGAGGTTTGAGTAAGGCTGCTATTAATCACCACTTACTGCTATCTGCCTCCCCTGGCAAAGTGGCTTGGGTCTGCTGAGGGGTTGTTCTCTTTGTGGGTATGCTCTTGGGACAGGAGGAAAGGAAAAGAAGAGACCATGAGCAGCCCATAAGCAGGATTCAGTACACACAAATCCATCAAACAAGCCAACAGATGTGTAGTACAAATGAAAAACACCCTGTCAGAACCAGAGGCTGGGGAGGCTCAGCTCTGCTTTACAGGCCACACTGACCACCACCATCATCACACACCAAGGGTATGTGCACCATTGTATACGTGCAGCTTGTGCTTTACAGCTCTCAGTAACAGCCCAAACACCCTCCCCTTCTCCTGACAAAGTGCTCACTACGTATTATCACTGCCTCACCACAAAAGCAAACAGCTCTTGGGTAACTCCCTGAATTATTATCTGATGGTAAAACCACAGTTAGGAGGGGATGATGTTCTTTAGTACTTACGCGGTCCTGCAGGCTTTTTTACGTTTTTGTTTCGAGGAGCCCCAGGAGGGGCCTTAGTTTTTCCAGGTGTTACTCCTGCTGCAATAGTGATATTTCACATTATGGTTTGTATTGCCAGGAACAGTAAGGCATTAGCAAAGACATTTTTCAATCTTATTTTTCAGTTATGTGAATAGAACTTAAGTGATGCTTGGCAGAGATGGAAACTGCATAGAAAACACCCACGTCCCAGTCCAAAAGATACGTTTGCTTTACCAGGTAAGTAGGGCTTTGTTATTACACAATCAGCATCTTTACAGTTGGGTAACCACCATCTTATCGCTGTGTTTTATCTCTCCCCTCAAATCCACATCCTAACTGCATCCAACCCTGCTATGTAATAGAAGCATAAGTTATTGTAAGAAATAAAGGCTGAGCTATGCCAGAAGGGCAGAGTACCATGACACTCATCAGCTTATAGATGAAAGTGAAGAGACACTGGCACATTTTTTCTCCTAGTTTAGCCCAGACTGTAGTAGTTTTGTGTGGAAATAGAGGACCACAGAATTTGGAAGACACACTTTATCTTACCTGACTGTATTTGCTGCACTGGGTTTTGGGTGGGTTTTTTTTAGGTTTCTGTGGGGGTTTTTTAATTCTGTTTAGATTGGAGGAGGAAGATCCCTCATTTAAGCTCAAAACCAAGGCAGGAAATGCCACTTTGCCCAGTGATACAGTACCTTCCACATTTTTCTCTTCAGATGGCATCATTGAAAGTTTCACAGTGTCTTTAAGGTTAACGGCGGACTGGTAAGAGGAATGTATCATGTTTTGGTCTATTTCAACCACAGGAACAAAAGCATCTTTTATTGATGTTTTTTGTAGTGCTGTTGCTCTCTGAAATGACAAACCGTAAATCTCATGCATACATAGGAAAATACAACCAAGTTAGTTTAAATGGGGTGAGGTTGTGCAAAGGAGCAAAGGCTACAGCCAGGCACGACCCATGGCAAAATTTCAGCAGCAACCACATGTATTGTTTCTTAACTGATACCTGAAAGAGCTATCAGACAATGTCACAGCACAGAGCTGCAACAGCTCATGGGGATGATCTCTCACTCATCTGGCGCTGCTGCTTGCAGCAGAGGTGGTGGCCGAATTGGGGGAAGCTACCAGACACCATTTCAGCCCTCCTTCATCAGTGTTTGTGTACTTTTCAGTACACCTGTTTATAGCAGGTTCTGGCACATGTCTGCATTACTGTTTGTAACTGTTCTGGAGAGCAGGACTACCACAGCAGGGTTCTGTTATTCTGCATTCTAGAAACATGAAGGATTGGATTCACATTTAAAGACATATTACCTTCAAAAACAGAAGGTCATCAACTTCAGTCAGTGCCATCTCAATCTGATCAGAGAGAGTCTGGATTTCATTCTTCTTACTTCCCAGAATGCCATAAATATATTCAAACTTACTTGAAACTCTGTTTTCTTCATCTGCAACTGCTTTCAAGATCTGAATTTCTCTTTCTTCAATTAAAGCTTTAATTTCTGAAAACTTACTTAGGATCATATCCTTCTGTTTGGAAATTGTCTCCTGGAGCAGACAAAAACAGACACTGGTTTCAAAAGCACAATTTGTGGACAAGGTACTGCTTACTACTACCACAGGAAAGCCTCTGAGGAACACATAGGCTTCAATTACTTGAAACAAGCAACAGAAAACCTCTATGTTTCTATGTAGTTTAGAAAGAAAGCTCCTTTACTCCCAAGAATTTAGGAGAATTCTGGGTCTCCAGACCCCAGCCATGGGGCAGTGGCCAGGCTGTGCTGTTGAGTGGTTACCAGCATCAGAATGCAGCTATGCCGTGCTCTCCCATGGAGCTGCCTGGCTCTGCCAGAACACCCCCTTTCTGTTCCTGCCAATGCAACCTCAGTACTACAGCCGTTGTCCCAAGGGTACAAGCATGAATGACATGCAGTTGCCAGTGTGTGCCAAGCAACCTGACAGCATTTTGAACAGTTACCCACTTACAGCAGCTTGGCCTTGGTTCATTCTCAAAGTGTTCATTGCCCGAGTAGCTTTTTCATTCTGATTATACAGCTCTGTGAGTCTCTTCTTCAGTGCCGCCTGCAATAGGATAGATCAGGAAGTATTTCAGAGAAGCAATTGCTATGTCTGCTCTGTCAGGTCATGCTTATTGGGGTAAGAATCATTTCTGCAGGAAGTTTTAAATCACCATTGTAAGCATTTAGTACTATTGGTTTTAAACCTACTGCTTCTTAAACCTTAGGGGATGCAAAAGCACTCTCCCAAATAAGTGTGGCTTGTGGAGCCTGCACCCTCCCCACAGCTCCACCTCTCCCAACAGCAAGATGCATGCTGTTGACTCACTCGACACGGACCAAGTGCTTTTACCAGCACAGCAGTTCTCAGTGCCAAGAATATACTTCACATTAGCTCTCAGGCTGGACTTCTTTAGTTCAAGGTGCTGCTAAGCCAAATCAGGAGGATTTCTGAGAACAAGCAGGATACATGCTTGCTGAACAGCTGTGAGGTTGGCCATGTAAACTTTTCAGGCATGCATCTACCCTCTGATTTTTAGCTGCACTCTAAGACAGGAAGGTCACGTTTCCTGCCCTTCCACTCCATGGAGAACCTCCTCCTGGCTTTTATCTAGGAGGATATTATTTTTATACTAGAGCTCTCCCTTGGCTGCTTTTGTAATTGTTTGTTTCTTAAGAATATACACAGTAAGGCCACACAGTGACCCCCATGCAGCAAGCAGCAGAGGGGCTCAGCGTTGGGGGGACACCCACAGAGGTGGCCTCGCCACAGCCCAGCCCAAACCAGGAACTGGCCCTCAACTCTGTGACAGTGCCTTCCCAGATCCTGGGAGCACCGTCTTGGAGAGAGGAGGAACACACAAGGAATGACTGAAGATATACTGTAGCACGCTTTGGAGGGCCGATAACAGTTTGCCAAGGCCAGGCACGAGATTTACAGTCCAAGTCTTGGTCCAGCCTCCCCCCTGCGTACCAGAGCCCATGACCAGCACCCAGGGTTCCACCAGGCCCTCGGGGACCAGAGCTCCCCTCTGGTCCCTCTCCCAGAGCCCCCGAAGGAGCCGGCTGCCCCCACCGTTCACCTCGGCACTGGCTTTGGCCAGCTCCAGGGGGCTGGTGTTGCACAACTTGTGTCCGAGGAGGCAGAGGGAGCAGATGCAGCTGCCGTGCTGGCTGCAGAAGAACTCGAAGAGCTTGTTGTGCTGCGGGCACTTGCGCTGCTGCAGGTCGCGCAGCGGCGGGCAGAGCTGGTGGTCGCGGAAGGCCCGGCTCTCCTGGTGCGGCCGCAGATGCTCTTCGCAGAAGGACGCGGTGCAGGTGAGGCAGGTCCGCACGGCGGGTGCCTGCAGGCAGGTGTCGCAGAGCACAGGGCCCTCTTCCTTCTCCTTCTCCTCCTCCTTCTCTTCCTCGGCCTCGGTGCAGCCCTGGAGCTGCTGCACCAGCCGGCACAGCACCGTGTTCTTCTGCAGCTGCGGGCGGCCCATGAAAGTAGCCCGGCACTGCGGGCAGCTGAAGTTCTCCGATACCCCGGCCCAAAAGCGCTGCAGGCAGGAGGCGCAGAAGTTGTGCCCGCAGGGCACGGTCACGGGGCTGCTGAAGAGGCAGAGGCAGATGGAGCAGGTCAGTTCTTCCTCCAGCACTGACAATCCCGACTCCGCCATGGCCGCGGCTGCTGCTACCACAATCGAAACTTGGGCAGGAGCTTTCCCGGTATCTACGCGGCCCGTCCCCGCCCCGATGGGAGGGACGGCAGCCCCGGGCCTGGCCGAGCTGCCGCCGGGGACCCACCCACCCAAGGAACGGTGACGCTTCTCATCGCCGCCCCGGAGCGCACCCCCGGCCGCCTTCACGCCCCCGCCTCCAGTCCTCGGAGCCCCTTCAGTACAGCCCCGCTGCTGCGGCCTCGTTCACCGCTGCCACGTGTGACCCCGACGGCCACCGCACTCAGCCCGAGCTGCCGCCAGCCCCGGCTGCGTTCCTGCGAGTACCGGGCTGGGGAAGAGCAAATAAGCTGTTGTTTGTGAAGCGCGCAGGTCAATGCACTGTGAGCGTGGAAACCATCTGAACGGAGGGTACTTGCTCAATTTTTCTCTTTTTCCCCTCAGTCTAACTGTTGAATAATTGCTGTTTCTAGCAGGAACACTGGATGCTGAATAGCCATGTGTGCAAATACTCTGTCTTAACGAACCTGACTCCAAATTCTTCCAATGACCTCCTCATGCTCCCTCATCTGCCCTGATCTCTGATGTCGCAGGGACTTCTTCAGTGCCTTCCACACTTGCCAATAAATGAAATGGAGCAGCACGGCACAAAGCCTGTGAGCCCTCCACCAAGAATTTAAGCAGTCTGGTGGTCTGCAGCAGAGGAAGCCATCTGCTCTTAACTTCATTTCCAGTGGCCAAAGGACACCTTGTGGAGAACTGCTGATGTTCCTTGTAATGTCGTAAAGAAGGTATTTGCAGGCAGCTGTGGGGGTTCTACATTGGCATTAGCTCTCAGAGACTTCAAAAAATGTTCAGGAATCATATAAAGCACTTGAAAGGGGCTTTTGTGGTTTGTCTGTTATAAGTACCGCATTGGAAGAAATTCCTAGCCACTTAGTTTAGAGGAGTAAATTAAATCTGAACAGTCACTGTAAACCTACATCATACAGATAACATTGACTTCTGCCTGTACCAACAATGTGCTCCAGGCTGGTAATCCTCATTCAGGGTGAACTATGGAGGGGTTGGTGTCCTGGACTCTGACTCATAGCTTAGTCATGGGACAACAGGAGACAACGAGCTGGGGTTAACAGAGGGGAGGCAGAGTTCGGGGGTTGGTGTGCGAGCTGCAGGAGGGTGGCCGGTTTAGATGGGTGCAGCTCCACTTAGTTACAGCACTGTTCGGATATGCAGCTCAGGACCCTGTAACCGCTGTCAGAGGAGATGGAAACACAGAAGGGTGCCTGAGAGGCGGTGGCTGACAGTGACTGCAGAGGACAGTACTCACCAGGAAGTGTGTTACCAAAGATGTGACCAAAGAGCAGCTGTTAACATTTACAATTGTTATTCTTCTGTAGGTGAACAAAGCACTTCTTCCTGGGCTTCACCACTGTCTTCTTCCAAAGGCTCAGCACTGCATTTTCTGCAGCGCTCACCTCATGCCTACTGATGCAGACAAAGGTATGCAGATGTAAAGGGTAAATACACACCCTCACAGTGGTAGCGTTTTGCTTCTGGAACAGAACACGAGGTGTTTAGAGCTCAGATGAGCAATTTTTCTGTTCTGAATAAGCCTAACCATTCCTGCAGTCTAAAAACCAATGCTTAGCATTAAAAACTAGTGAAGAATTTTACCATTTAAATAGCTACTGAAGTTGCTGCTCTCTTTGCCTCCTTTCAATTCCTTGAGAACTTCTTCACGTGGTTCTGAACTGAATCTAACCCTTTGCCCACATACTAGGTATTCAAAGTGCCACTCGGAGCTTGAGCAGGAAGTTGGAAGTACAGTAGAACTATTCCTTGTGTACACATGGCAGAGCAAATATGGAGGCAGGTTTTCTGATAGTTTGACTTTTTTGGATTTAATATGCAGTGGTACAATATTCCTATCAAAATGAGAATTCCAAATTCCTTCACATGCATGTTCTGTCCTTTTCCGCATCTCCCCCATTTAGGCCTTGGGAGGATGGGTGTGACAGGGAGGGTGCTCAGCCAGCTCCCTCAGGCTGCACATAATTCAATTTGATGTAAATTGTGCATTGAAGCAGTAGTTTCACCCAAACTTGCTAACAATGGATAAATAAACCTCAGGATTTTATCCTTATAACATCCTCTTTTGTGGGTATATTTTTTTTCAAGCATCATCTGTTCCTTACAGCCAGAGGGACTCTATCCATTTAACATGTAGCCAAAACATTGTGGGCAGTGGAACAAGAGGCAAATCCTGCTCTCAAGTGTTGTGAAATCCTTGCATATTTAGCTTTTGCAATTTCATCAGAATTCAAAACTAACAGTTTCCTTTAGGGGAAAAAAAAAAGTCTCTCCATTAATCCCATCTGCCTCAGCACGACAGTGCTACACTTCTGGAATTTGCTTTTTGTCCAGTTTGCAAGAATGGCCACACATGAATCTGCTCTAAAAAGCAAATTCTGGCACAAAATAACAGCAACTAAAGAGAACTGCAATACACACATTGGTTTTACTGATATAAAAATGATTCCTTCACAATCAAGAGATTTTAATAGGGGCAGTGTGATGGCATGCAATGTTTGAATATAGTCACTATATGTGCATTATATAGTGCACTCATCGGAGCACGTGTCAGCTAAACCATAATGGACAATTTTCCAGGTGTTTTTAGCTAGGGCTTTGGGTTTTTTTTTTTCCATGTCTTCTGTTTAAGACTCAACTGCCTGGGACAGGGATCATCTTAAACTGTAAGAGTTGCCAAGATGACACTGTGATGGCTTGGATGTGCTCATACTTGCATGTCAGGGAAGTGCACTGCCACCGCCTGGCGACCCATTCCGCTACTGCGGAGGAAAGAGGAAAGGCAGCACAGAAACTTCAGCACATAAAGGGCAAAAGGGTTTGCTTTAAAACAAACAAAGAGTTTCAGAGCCTACACAGATTAACCCACCAGACACAATTTTGCCAGGGATTCCTGTTACATTTTCTGGTTCTGACATTACTAATACCATTTATCTACCTCTCAAAATTACAGAAGCTTGAAACCCGTATGTTCTGGTAAGCCCTGGAAATAACTGCAAGGTCATGGCATGTGTATCATATTCTGCAGCTGCAGAGATGTGCACATCAACATCTATATTTCATTGTTATGTGTTGGTTTTAGCTATCCTTACAGCAAGCTACCTCTGTGCGCAGTTATTTGGCTCTAACCAAACCCAGACATCTAAATGAAGTTACTGACAGTACAAGGTCATATTTCATCTTTTTGATCAAACCATTCCAGTTCTGCAACTTGCAGCAGTAGGACATAAAAACTGTTATTAAGCTTCCATTGAGGAAAAAACAACAGATCTATATATTAAAGATTTCCTATAATGAAAAAAATATTCCTGTATTACGTTAAAAACATATCCCAAGACAAAAGTGTTCCTTTTCCTTTTGGCATAGTTTCTTTTTAGAACCATTTATTAAAAATATCCACCAGTTCATCTGCTGCATGGCACAAAGACAGTCCGGGCAATTATTTACATTTGTTCATATTTCAGATTGTTCCATTTTCAATGCTGGATCCATTAACTGGAGGCTCCACAATCAGTCGTGGCTCTATCAGTGCATCCCACCTTTCAGTTATCTGAAAACAAAATACAGAGAATACTTAGTACACAAAAGCTGTACAGGCAGATGCAATTCATCCTACATTATTCTTTGTCTAGACTTGACCGGCAGCACGACTGAACAGAGATCACAAGATCCTTCCTGTGATTCATTGATCTTGATGAACCTCAACCTGACTGATGTCCTCATAAGGAGAGGTGCAGGTAAGGAAACCAGTGCCTGAACTGAATAACCTTGTAAGAACTGATACTCTACCTAGATGTGATGCTGTTTATTTTACTAGCAAAACCAAAAAGTTACAGTTCGATAACTGGTTTTGAACCTTGTTACTTGAGGAACATCCCAGAAGTGATTCTTATCTTGTAGTCATGAACATTCTTGCTAGAAAGGAACAATTCTTTTTCTTTTCATTTATTAAGCATATGTATTCTTACAAAGGAAACCTCACTGAGATGAACAGAGTCATAAAGCAGGGCATGTACCAGCTGTGCAAAACTTGAAACAGGCTTCAAAACAGGACACCCACGTACCTTTGTATCCTGAGGAATAGCGTACTCAATCAGTTCTGCTCCATCTGCAGACTGGTAAACCAGATCGAATTTCCCTGGCTCTTTTGCATCTTAAAAAACAAACAAACAACTTCATTAACTTTCAACAAAAATGTTTAAATGCTTTCCATATTTAGAAAGATAATCAAAACTTTTTTTTTTTTTTTTACTTAAATTGGGGGTTTGGGTTCATAACTGTAAAAGAAAATGTGAGGTAGAACTGAACACTACACACCAAAATGCAGGTAACCGTCTTACATGCATGAAGAAGTTAATCAACAATCTACTGCTAAATTTGAGAAAAATACTCAAATGATGATAATTCATTAATTCTGTGCTAAATGGCAACTCCAGTATTCACATCCAGTTTCAGAAACACTCAGGTTAAGTCTCTGAAGTGTACTTTGTCACTGCAGGGACTCAGTTCTAAAACCACTGAAGACAGTGGCTTCACTGACATCACCATTATAATCTACAATTTCCTCTGCAATTCCATATAATGATTTTAATTTTTTTTCAGGAAATAAAATCCCAACAGAGACAAGTTACTGACCACTCACACCGACTGGACAAATTACCTATAGATGAGTTACTGACCACTCACACTGACTGGACAAATTACCTATGAGCATCTTCAATACAACAAGCAAATGTTTGAACTTCTCCACTTAAACAGACTTTTGAGGATGAACTCAAGGAAATTGGAAATACTCCTAAAACATGACGTGTGCCTTGGATTAGCTGTTTTCCAAGTGGTGCATGTGACAACAAGCATTTGGTGTCCCAGGGTACATACGTTGTCCTGCTGATGGCGAAAGGATCTCAAGCTCGATCTGCTTTTTATCAGCATGCCAACTGATGATTTTTCCCTCCTTCATAAAGCAACAAAGAAAGAATCAGGTAAGATACACTTCAGCACTGGATAACCACTATGGTACTTGACCACAGGTAGACGAAGCTCTGTCAAATTTGGCTCTATATATACAATCTGCAAAGTGTTAAAGCTCAGCAATATGCAGCTACTGACATCAATAAAGTGATGTTATTCATGGACACTGGCTGTACTTTCAATCAGTACTTATCCAGGAACAGAGTCACCTGAAGTAGATACAAATTTTACTTGCACCAGTTTCAAGAATTTGCCTTGACTTCAGGCAGCAGTAGACTCAAATACAGCTGCATTCTTCTACTTGGTATTTTTGTCTTTTTTGAAATATTAATGATTATTAATAATGCTTTTTAAAAAAAAAAAACTTCTAGACCTTTCAAATTTTCAGCCAGTTTTGGGTTCTAGTTTTTTGTTTTACTGCTGCACCAGGAATAGCTTGTGGAGTCAACTGGATGAGAGGAAAAACACTGCACAACCTCAAAATATTTAAGTCTTACCTCACCTATAATAGTTTAGTGAGTGAATTACAGGAGGAAAGAAACCAGTACCTTATAGTCTGAAACTTCAGGACAGTAATTTTCAGTTAGTTCCAAGCGCTGTTGAAAGAAACACAAGTAATAAATTACAACTTTTCCAGATCCCTGATGATGCCACCTGTACCCAGAGAGTGTTTCTTCAGCAAGAGGAAAGTGCAAAAATCAGGTTTCGCACTCCTGGATCCTGATGCCAGTCACAGGCCCAGACAGTCTTCCAGGATTTACAGTTCCAAAGGATTTAGTTCAGGTCAGGCTGTGAGAGGAGATCAGGGAGATGGATCCCAGTCTCCTCAACCACACAGTGATTTATTTCATTTCCATTTACTTTTTTATTTTGCAGAAAACTATTTGTACGGTAAAATTTGCAATAACATTATAGAAACACTACAGAGAAATGGCATAGAGGTATCTTTCCTTTTTATAGCACCTAATTTTAATGCTGACTTTCCTTGAAACTTTTAAAAATGAACAAATAAGTAGGATGAAGACTCCTTCCCAACTCTTATACTTCTAGGGTAACAGCCCAGAACAATGCAAGATGAAATTCTTCAGTGTAAGCTTTTTGATGTCAGGACTATGTGATCTGTATCATGTCCTGCAAAACTTACCATGGCCCAAATGAAACCATTTTAGCCCACTAACGTTGAGTATTTCACAAGTTCCTTACCTTAAAGGCAATTCTTTGTCCCACTTGTGGTGGAGCAGCTAGAAGAGGTAACACACTATAGTCTCTCTTGGGGACCTCTACGGGATTCTGTGGAACGAACAGTAAATCCACTGATTTAATTACTGCACTAATAAACTGGAAGGCAAAGTAAGGATTGTAAGATGTTCTGAGAAGAATTACGGTACATATCTGAGTACTTTGCTTTGACAGACATAATACAATCACTTAAATATTGTTTCATAAACACTTCCTCAGGCTGCTGAATGAAGATACAGTAAATATCAGGTTTACTGAGTTAAGATCAGCCTTTATCCTATTAATCTATTAGAGTTTTTATGAATGACTCTCACCCTATGCAGTTTTTGTATAGTTAAAGCTGCAAGAGAAAGGTGACCTATGACTGTGTAAGTCACTCACCTGGACGAGAACAGAGGAGTTTGTCGCAGCTTCATTTAACTGCCTCTGCTTCTGGCCTTCACTGTTGTAGTTATAGAAGAAGCCAGGGTTGGCTCCTCTTCCAGGGCCTTGGCCCCTCATCACCCCACGATATCCACGGCCTCTAGGTCCTCTCCTGAAGTTATCCTCTCCTGTTCCATACCCCCTTCCACGCCCTGGGCTGGCAAGTGGTCCTTGAATACTGTTTGGCAATGTTTTGGAACAGTTTCTTGCTATGGAATTACTCAGTCCAGCATCTGCTGCAGACTTTTTAACGAGTGTTTCTGAACCTGAACTCTCAGACTGTGAGGAGGAGGCCTGTGCTTTCGGAGCCTTGGTGGTGCTGGGCAGTGGCTTTTCCTTTGCCATACTGCTGTGCGCTGCTGCCACCTTCTCATCCTCTGCACTCGAGTCAGAATCTGAACTAGAGGATGCGGATTTTTTAGCATTTTTACTAACTGCAGTCTTAGGGGAATTGGCAGCGCTGGGCTTTACAGTCACTTTATTAGCAACAACAGTTTTCACATCAGCACTTGCAGCAGCTTGGGATTTGTCTTTGGGAAGTGCTGACACTATAGGTTTACGGGAAGATTTATTTTGCTGTATGCTTGTTTCACTGCTGTCGCTGTCTGACGATGTGCTGGAGGGAGGGGAAGCTCCCACCCTCCTTTTTTTGGACTGTATTGGTTTCTTTGTGTTATTTTTACCATAATTTCGAGACGAGCTCTGATTTGCCAGTTCTGAATCCACCTTTGCTGCTGTGGCCTTTGTCTGTTTTCCATCCTTCTTTTTTGCTGCCAACTCCTTCTCTCTCCCTGTTTTTTTAAGCTTTTTGGATTGGCCAGAAGAGCTCTCTTCGTTACCTTCTGTGAGTCTGTTTCTTTCACTGGCTCCATCCTTTCTTTTTCTTTTCTTGTGCTTTTTATGAGAGTCCCAAATATCTACAGAGGCCTCCTCCCTACAAGAAGGATACTCTGAGCTATGTTTATGCTTTTTCTTTTTATGCCTGTGTTTTTCATTTAGAGAGAAGTCTTCTTCTTCCTTCTTTTGTCTATGCCTTTTTTTGTCTTCTGTTGGTGTATAGAAGAAGCCATCACCTATCTCTTCATACTCAGCCGCGGCGATCTCTTCCAATTTTACTCTGTCAAAAACAAACAATAGCCACTGTTCAGCACAATTAACGCCTTTTGCCATTCATTAGCAGCTCGGGTCGGCTTGTCTGCTGGTGGCTGCCCTCTCCCTCTATCGCTGGGGGGGTTCCCAACCCCTGGGCTCTCTCCATCCCATTTCAGACACCCCGGGTGTCTCGGGCTTTGGAGAAGGGGGCTCCGCTCACCCCGGGGGGGGCACCGCCAGCCCCCTCCGTGTCCCGCCCCAAGCCTGCGAGGGGCCTCCTCCCACCCCGGTGCCGCGGCTCCGCTCTCCCGCTCGGGGCTCGCCAGGCGCAGCCCCCACCGTACCGGAGCGAGTCGTTGTCCCGCACGAGGCGGGCGCTCTCGGTGGGGGGCAGCAGCGCCCCTTCCAGGAAGAGGCTGAGGCGGGCCCGGCGGCTGAAGCCGAACCTGTGGCGGATGAGGCTGATGAGGTCGGTGACGAGGCGCACCCGGCCCGGCTCCAGCAGCAGCCAGCACAGCGCGCAGCCCGGGCTGCCCGGCGGCGGGTAGTCAAACACCAGCCGCAGCCGCACCGGGCCGCCGCCGGCCGCGGCCATCTTGGAAGGGAAGGAGGCGGGCCCGAGGAGGGTGAGGGGCGGGGCGAGAGGGCGACGGCGCCAAGTATGGGCCAAAAAGGGCGGGAGGTGCGCGGGCCTCGGCCGCGCCCCTTGAGGGCGGTTCGGGCTCCGGTCCCCGTGCATGTGACAGCGCGGGCGCCGGGAGCGGCCGGAGGGATGGGGCCGCTGCGAGCCGCGACGGCTGCGTCCGTGCTGCTGCTGGCGGCAGGTACGGGCTGGGGGACGGGACGGGACGGGACGGGGGGTTGTGTCCAGCCTTGTGCTGCGGCCCTGCCCCGGGCAGCGATGGAGCCACGGGCCCCGGGCATGGCACGTTCCGTCCTGTGGCCGCCGCTGGGCAGGGCCTGAGCAGGACGCGGTGAAGGGGGCGATAAAGGCGCTGTCCCGATGGGAGCAGGTCGAGGTCCGGGCGGGCCGGGCCGTCGCTGTGTCTCTATCGGGGGCTTTCGTGCTCTTGGGGGGTCGCCTCCTGTCCCCGGCTGGCCGGGTCCGCGCTCCGGGGCCTCAGGAATGTGGGCATTCGGGTCCCTGTTGATTCACCTGGGCGAGAGAAGCTGCCCGCAAACCAGGGCGGCGCTTCCCATCGCTGTTGAATCCCGAGCTGTTGTCTGCGCTTCTGGACCCTATTCCCTTTGGCAGTGCAAGGGACACGGAGAGCCGTGTGTGTGAGGTTACTGCGGTGCTCAGGGGTGCTGGCTGCAGGGTTTCACCTCTGAGACCCCTCAGGTCAGGGGCTGTGAGGAGCAGAGCATCCCTGTTCGTGTCGCTGCTGCTGTGAGGGCTGGTAACGAAAGTGTGGTGGTGTCCGTGCTGATAGAACATGGCCAGTCTGTGTCCTGTGGAGCAGCAAAGACGGACCACTGTGGCTTGAAAAAGTCTCTTTCTCTTGGGGACTGCTGTTGAGATCGGGAAGATTAAGGGATGTGGTTTCAAGGGGGTGTTTCTGCAGAAGTGCCCAGGTACTAGATGGAGAACAGCCTGGCAGTTTATGTTGGCGTGACTCTGATGACTTAATCGAGTTTAGGATTAGATCCTGGGTTCGTTTAGAAGTGACCTGTCTGTCTGTCCTGCATTCACTCTCCTTGGGGACTATACAGTAATTTGATCTTCCCAGAGACTGGGATCTAAGTGTTGGATCCCTGGCAGAGCGCGGGTGACCCTGGTGTGAGTTATTCCATCCTGTCTGGCAGGGCTGTGCTTTTGGCCCAGGACATAAAGACTTTAAATGTTTCCCTGATAGAAAACATCATCCTGGCCACTGGGCTGCTGTTCTGGCAGCAGCTGCAACGTCAGGCCCTGTTAATTAGGCACTTAATGACACACTTCATTCACTGGTGATAACTCAGTGTGTGGAGGTGTAACTATAGTCAGGTTCCTTATAGTATTGTTTTTTTAATGGAAGCACTTGTAGCTATCACCCCCAGGACTGCAGTGTGATGTGTTGGAACAAACCCAGTGGAAAGTCCAAAACTGCCTTTTAACCTGGCTGATTCTTCTGATTCCCCTCACAGGTGCAGTTCTGAGGCAACCCCAAGAGCCCAAAGAGCTGTGGGGATATGTGCAAGTTCGAAGTAAGGCCCACATTTTCTGGTGGCTCTACTATGCAAACAACCCAACCAAAGACTTCACGGAATTACCCCTCATCTTGTGGCTTCAGGTAAGGTTTGGTGAAAGACACTTAAATGATAACATCTTTTATGATGGGTACCTTGTAGCTCAACAGAAACAGGATTCAAAATTGTCCAATTCTAAATGAGTCCCCTTGTGAATGAGGTAGAAATAATAAAGATATCATTCTGCAATTGTGGAGTGCCCCCAGATGCTCACCTGCCATCGGATAAATAACAGAAACAGAGGTTGTTCTCACCTTTTATTCAATAATAGTGCTTTTTGTGGCAGACTCTACAATTCTACTGTAGCATCCCAGCTTCCCTCCTGAAGAGCTTACAGTCTGAACAATATTCAGAGAGAGAGTAGGTAAAATAATCAGAGATCTAGAAAGATTTCTAAATGAAAACAAGTCAGAGAGACTCTGGTTGTTTAGAGATTGGTCCCCCTCAGTCACAGTTTGATAAAAGGCAGTGATGTGTGCTGCATGTTCACCTCCAGCAGTACATTTCAGAAGTTAATGTTGAATATAATGACTTGATGACTTGGTCTTTTTCTTTCTGGCTTATTTCTTCAGAGTGAAATGCACACACTGATAAAACTAATGGCTTGCAAACCTCTGTAGAGAGCCAACTTTTGCATTCCGTATTAAGGGAATAAGGGGAAAGGCTTTAAAGCTGCACTCATGTAGCATGCAACTTATTAGATGCTTTCACAAGTGGGTGATTGCTCCTCTTTAAGTTCTTTCAGAAATGGCATGTGTGCACATAATGAAAATCCACGAGGAAGAGATTTAATTTGCAGCTTTTCAAATTAACATGGAGTGCAAAAGCCATTTCTTTTAAATTTACAATCTGTTGTTGTACTTATTGGCTTGCTTTTCTTTTTCTCCTGTCTATCTATACCATGCTGCCTTTTAGCTTATTTGTCATTTGGTATTTCCCCACAGGGAGGTCCGGGATCTTCAGGCTGTGGATTTGGGAATTTTGAAGAGATTGGTCCATTAGACAGAGAAATGAAACCAAGAAACACAACCTGGGTATAGTAGAGAGTTCAGCTTCTAATTGCTGATTGCAAATGCCTGTAGCTTGTGTAAGCAGATGGTTGCCATGCAAAAATGCACAGAACAGTTAATTTCACAGAAAAAGTTTAATAAAGGCAATAAAGTTTAAAGTTCACTTCAACTATAATATTTCGTCTTACAGTAGTGTGGCTAATAAATTGGTTTATAGGAATAGCCTTGCTAAGAACTGAAGAATAGACCTGTTAATGTGATTTTATGGAACACATCTGGGCTTCCATGAGGTTATGAATTGGAGGTGTCTGGGGAGCAGGGCAATTCTAGAAAGACGTTATTTAAGATCATGGCTTCACTGTGCACAGTCATAGATTCCTGACAGTGTAAAACCAGTGGCTTATAATTACAAGTCCAGTATGGCCTTCAAGGGAGAACAAATTACAGCTGCCTACGAAGGTGGCATTTTATTTAATGAAATGTATTTGTGCTCTGAACTACCAATAGTC